CTGCTCCTTCTACTTCCCCGGCTGTCATTCACGAGAACCAGTCAAATGCCGAGGTCATCATTCCACCAACCCTTAAATTCTTGCTCTCTAATATCAAGAATGTGATCAACATTCATCTTCTGCCGGATAATTATCTGACTTGGCGTTCAGTCATTCAAAAACTATTTGCTGCCAACAGTTTTTCAGGATATCTCAATGGCACCCAGCCCTCTCCTCCCAAACATCTGTTAACTGCCACTGGACAACTCGTCCTAAATCAACAGTTCTCTTCTTGGTCACTAGTAGACCAAAATCTGTCTGTCGCTCTGTTCTCAACCATCTCAGCCTCCATACTCCCCTATGTCCTGAACTTAGACACCACTGCCTCTATTTGGAAGACACTCGAGCAACGTTTCTATTCCACCAATAGATCCCGAGTGATACAATTAAAAAATGAGCTGCATTCACTCTCTATGCACAATAAAACCATGACAGAGTATTTAGCCTCTGTCAAAGTGCTCGTGGATAACATTAATGCTGCCGGCGGTTCTGTTGACAGTGAAGACGTGCTACACTATATATTAAATGGTTTACCACCCAACTATCAGTCGTTTAAAACTTTCGTTCGATCATCCCTTCAACCAATCAGCTTGGACAACCTCTATTCTCTGCTTCGCAGCGAAGAGGTCCACCAAACGACTGATGCAGCTTGTCATTTGCATCGACGGCAGCCTCCTCCGATTCAACACTTGCTTTGTTTACAAACCGCGGACACAGTCGAGGACGTTTCAATTCCTCCAGAGGGCATGGTCGTAACTCCGGTTTCAATCGTTCTCCACGCACACCCCACTTCGATGGACAGTGCCAAATCTGTGGTAAAACCGGACACTCAGCTGTTACTTGCTGGCACAGAGGAATTTTTCAGTACAACTCCCCTATTTCCTCCATTGATGTAGCTCTGTTGGAAAACAATTTGAATTCGGATACTACCTCGTGGTACCTGGACAGCGGTGCTACCGCTCATCTTTCTCCATAATTACTACCTTTTCAACAACCATATACTGGTAAAGATCACGTGCTGGTTGGAAATGGCAACTCTGTTCCCATTTAACATCTCGGTCACTGCTTACTCCCTACTCCTACACGTAAGCTCCTACTTAAACCACTTCTTCATGTTCCTAATCTCACTCATAAACTTCTTTCCATTTCCAAACTTATCAACGATAACCAATGTTCTATCACTTTTGATCAATTCGGCTTTCATTTAAAGGATCCAAAGACCAACAAAACGCTTCTCAAAGGTCCATGTCGTAATGGACTCTATCCTGTTCCAGTCAACCCCACCACTACTTCCGTCACCGCCAATGTTGCCACTGTTCAATCCTACTCAACCATGAACATATGACATCGCTGGTTGGGCCATCCCCACTCTAAAGTTCTGCAACATCTGTCAAAACAGCTCTCTCCATTAGGTCGTTCCGTTCTTAGTTTGTCTTGTAATTCCTGTGAGCTTGCAAAAAGCCACAGGCAACCGTTTTTCTATTCAACGCATGTAACTAATACACGTCTAGAGATTTTACATATGGATGTTTGGGGACCTTCCCCGGTTCTATCTTATGATGGTTATCGCTATTATCTTTTAATCGTTGATGATTTCACTAGATTTAACTGGTTGTTTCATTTGAAATTTAAATCTGACGTTCCGCGCACAATCACTCATTTCATTACGCAAATTGAAAGACAGCTTAATACAAAAATTCGCACCATCCGCTCTGATGGTGGTGGCGAATTTATCAATACTATCCTAAAAGCTTTCTTCTCCACCACTGGTATTACTCATCAACTAGCCTGCCCCCATACACCACAACAAAATGGTATTGCTGAAAGAAAGCATCGCCACCTCCTCGAAACAACGCGTACCCTCCTCCTTGACGCTCATCTTCCTCACTTTCTCTAGGCTGAAGCTCTACATACCGCCACTTACTTAATCAACCGCCTGCCTTCTTCCCATAATCCTCAAAAATCTCCTTCTAAACTTCTCTATAAACTTCAGCCCCTCTATCACCAATTACGCATTTTTGGTTGACGTTGTTACCCGTGGCTCCGACCGTATGCTAAACACAAACTCGCTGCTCGTTCAGTTCCTTGTATATTCCTTGGCTACGCAAATCAATATAAAGGTTACAAATGCTATAATCCCTCCTCTGGAAAGATCATCATATCCCGTCATGTTACATTTGACGAGAATATCTTTCCCTTCCTACCGTCTTCGCCCACAAATATATCTTCTTCAAATCAACCTCTGTCTCCACCTTTTCTCCTAGTAATTATCAATTCTACATCCTCCACAGAACAAATCTCTATACCTCACCTACCCACCACTCCCCATTCCTCTGAAACTCCCCAGCTCCGGCCTGTATCTACCCCAGCTCAAAACTCCTCAAATCTCCCTTCCACATCTAACCTTCCTACAACTACCTCATCTAACCTTCCACCCCAACACCCTATGATTACCATATTCCAAACAGGTTCACTCAAGCCTCGCCAGCTCCTCAATCTCAGCCACCAAACAGACACCACTCCCACCTGCTACACAACAGCCGCAAAATCACCTCATTGGAGACAAGCTATGTCAACCGAGTTCAATGCCCTTCAAGCTCAAAACACTTGGTCTCTTGTTCCACCTCCTTCTAATCATCCCGTCATCGGCTGCAAGTAGATTTACAAAATTAAACGTCTAGCTAATGGTTCCATAGCCCGTTACAAAGCGCGCCTTGTCGCTCAAGGTTTTCAGCAAGAGTATGGCATTGATTATAATGAAACATTTAGTCCCGTTGTCAAATTTCCCACCATTCTAATCTTCCTTACCGTTGCTCTTCATCACAATTGGCCTGTGCTTCAACTCGATGTCATTAACGCATTCCTCCATGGCAACTTGGATGAGACAATCTACATGTCTTAACCTCTCGGCTTCCAAGATCCCAATCTTCCAACTCGCGTATGCCGTCTTCATAAGGCCTTATACGGTCTTAAACAATCCCCTCGTCTTTGGTTTGCAACTCTTACCGCTTACTTACTAACGCAAAATTTTCAAATCAGCACTGCCGACCCCTCCTTCCTCTTACTTCACAAACACAATCTTCAAATCTATCTTCTAATTTATGTTGATGATATATTAATCATCGGCAACGACCCTTCCTTTATCTCATCTCTCATCAACAATCTACATAGCAAATTCCAAACCCAATCTACATAGCAAATTCCAAACCCATAACTTAGGTACTCTGTCTTGCTTTCTGGGCATCAACCTCCAACGAACTCCTCTCAGCTTTCATCTAACACAACCCACTTACATTCAAGAGCTTCTGTCTTCAGCTTCCATGGCAAATTGTAAACCCATTCAAACTCCTTTACCCAACAAAATTCCCTCCGATCCTGCTCTACAACAATCATTTACCCAACCATTATTGTTCCGCCAGATTGTGGGTTCTCTTCAATACCTGTCCGCCATCCGCCCAGACATCGCGTTCGCCGCAACAAACTTTGCCAACATATGCATCAACCTCTACTACTGCATTTTCAGCTACTCAAATGCCTCCTCCGTTACCTGCAAGGCACTGTCGACTACAGTCTGTTCCTACCAAAAACCGATCTTGTCCTAACTGCATTCTCAGAGTCTGACTGGGCAGGTGACGCCATTGATCGCAAGTCTACCACTGGATACTGCATCTTTCTCAGCAGGGCGCTCATATCGTGGACAGTGAAGAAACAAACCACTGTCGCCTGCTCTTCAACAGAGGCCGAATATCGTTCTCTTGCTGTAGCCGCTGCCGATATAATCTGGATCCGCCACTTATGCAGTGACTTTAACATCTCCCTGCAGCCTACTCCCCTCTACTGTGACAATATTTCGGCAATGTCCATTGCTACCAACCCAATCTTCCATGCCCACACTAAACATATTGAGATCGACCATCATTTTGTTCGGGACAGCATTCAAGCAAAATATATCGCCGTTCATCACATTGCGACGGAAGACCAGCTTGCGGATCTCTTTACTAAGGCCCTCCATGTCTCCAAATTTCAGACTCTTCGCACCAAGCTAATGGTTGTTCCACCCATGAGCTTGAGGGACGGTGTAAAGGAAGAATGCACCACCATTGCATCCACTCATTCTGAGTAGCAACGAACCCCTGCTCCTGCAACTGATACCACCGAACGGCCTCTGGCATCAGCCAGCCTTATGTAACTATCAAAGGGCAAACTAGTCATTTTCTTACTTTCTCTTATCCTCAACATGTCTATATAATTATTTGAATTGCTACAGTAAAGGTTACCATTGAGAGTTCATTTGTTTGATTTGAGCTTCTTCCTTAACGTAACTCTCTGATGAAGATCCTGTTGGATCATAGCTTTCGGTTTATCAATACTCTCTTAGACTTCATTTGGTATAACTTTCTTACTGTTTTTTAAAATAATTTTTTAGCACAAAAATATATTCAACAACAACAACATCAAGCCCTTGTCCCACTACGTGGGGTCGGCTACATGAATCCTTCTTAGTAAAAAATATATAGTTAAAAAAATACTAAAAAATCACTTTGTAAAGCAGTAAGAAAGTGTCTCAAATAAAGCTTTAGCGTAAAATAATGTTTAAGGCACAAAATGTATCACTTTAAGAAGATGATTCGAAGTGGAAATATTTTGCTATGGCTCCAATAAATCAAATAATATCTTCACAACTATGAGATTATAACACATGACATTTATTTAAAGTTTTCTTTATATTTTATTATTTTGATATTCTAGTAAAGTTATTTGATCCGAAAATTGAAAGAAGTAATTAAAGTTAAAAAAAAATCAATAAAATATATCTCAAATAATCAGCTTAAATGGCAATAGTTTCATCAATTAAAATTTTTTCCATTCTCGAATGCTCAATTTCTACCTTAACATTTTAATCGAACTTTCCCTTCGTAGTTTCCAATTCCAGTCCATAACCTACTCTTACTCGACTATTAATACTCTCTTCCGTTTCCTCAGCAAAAACCCTCCTTCTCAATTCAACGCTCTACAGTGTCCTCTTCTTCTCCTCTCCTACCTTCCACCTCCACTAAATACTGAACAAAAGCTCCACCTTTCGTCTCTCGTTCTATAAAGATCTTTGCTTGAAGGAGGAGGAGGAGGCGCTAGAAGAACACTAAAGCTCTTTAATCTATCATCGTATATCAAGAAAGACTTTACTTTGGCAGACATGGGCTTAAGCTATCAGTGCGCTTCTTCCATCCTCCTTTGTTCTGAAGACAACAGCAGCATCTTCGGCTTTGAAGAAGAAGAAGAAGAGGTTGAAAGGCATTGGTCTGATTGCCGCCCTCTGCAAAAAAACTGCGACTTTTATAGAGATTTCTTGATGGATTTTCCCTTGCTATCAGATGACTGCGTGCGCTTGCTGCTACAGAGAGAGTTAGAGCATCTGCCTAAGGAGGACTATGCCAAGAGGCTGATGAACGGGTCTTTGAATGTTTCCATCAGAAGCGATGCCATCGATTGGATGCTAAAGGTGTAATTTTTCTTCTGATTTTATTTTTTAAGGATCTTACGCTGATGCTTTTCTTTTCACCATTCCAAAGGATTCTTGATCAATGTTAACGCTTTTAGATCAATTACCTTTACGGTCTTGCCTATTTTGTTGCTTCTTTTATCTTTTCTTGTAAATTATTGAACTTGGTTTTCATTAATAGAATTTTCTGCTAGAGTTTTGATTCTGTGGTCGTGGGCTTGGCTTTTTTTCATTGTCATATTTACTTTTGATGATTATGGGTAAACTGGATGTGATTTACTCTCTTTTTTGGCATCTTTTTTCAACTTATTGGATGTTCTAATTCTGATGCCAGGTTCATGCCTATTACAATTTTGGACCTTTGAGTTCTTATCTTTCTGTTAATTTTCTGGATCGATTTCTTTCTTCATATGAGCTCCCTGTAAGTACTCGAGCCTCACTTAGTTCTTTATATATTCCGATCATAGATATGTCTATGCAAATGTTCCATTGCCCTTTTCTCATCAGTTATAGATCTGTAAATTTAGCAAGGAAAGGCCTGGATGACTCAGTTGTTATCAGTAGCTTGCTTATCTTTGGCTGTCAAAGTGGAGGAGACTCAAGTCCCTCTATTGCTTGATTTGCAGGTAAAGAAGAAACCATCATATTTATGAGGTTGATGAATTTGACAAAATTTGTTTATTTCTAATTACATCGAACCAAATTATTGGATCTGGCGAAATTAATTGTTTTCTAACACATGCTTTCAATCTACAAGGAACTGAATGAACTTTTATTAGTATTGGAATATAGATTTCATGATGAATGTTCTATTTAAAGTTTAAAAGACTTATGAACATTGTTTGATCAATAGGTGAGTGAGGCCAAGTTTGTCTTTGAAGCTAGAACCATCCAGAGAATGGAGCTCTTATTGCTAAGCACTCTCAAATGGAGGATGCACGCCGTGACGCCTTTCTCCTTCATAGATTACTTCCTTCATAAGCTCAATGAGGGCAATTCCCCATCCAAGCTATCATTATCGCAATCTGTGGAGCTCATTCTTAGCACCATTAGAGGTACTACTTAAATTTTGAGTTTATCATTTGAGTCACAAACTATAAAACAAGGGAAAGTGAATCGAGATCTGACAATGAGACTTGATTCAGGGGTTGATTTCCTAGAATTCAAACCTTCTGAAATCGCTGCAGCCACTGCACTATCAGTAATGATTGAAGCCCAAACAATGAATGTTGAGAGTGCGATTACTTGTTGCTGCAATGTAGATAAGGTGAAGATTGTTTCCTAATTCACATGGTATCATATTACCATCTTTTTTAAAGTATGTTATTGAGCTAGATGAGTGTCATCTATGGCTGCAGGAGAGAGTGCTAAAATGCTATGGAGTGATGCAGGAGGAGATACTGATAAGTAGTTCAACACTCAAGTATGGGATGCCATCAGTTCCTTCTATGCCACAGAGCCCAATTGGAGTTCTGGATGCTGCTTGCCTGAGCTATAAGAGTAACGAAATGATTTCTGAATCTCAGCCAAGTTCTCATCACTCTTCTCCAGCTGCAAAGAGAAGGAAACTAAGCAGAGCTTCCATTTCATGATGGTGAGAAGAGATCTCTTTTCAGGTTTTGTGCTGATTTAATTGTGAAGAGGCTTTGATCTATATGGCTATTAAGTTTACTTTGAAAGTGAGAATTTTTTGAAGGAGCCTGGAAGATTCACAAAAGGGGCTTATGGATAAAGCTTGGAAAGATTAAATAGTATGAAAATTGAGAATAAATGGATGTGATTGGATTATTTGTCCATGTTCTGAATATAAATAGGGATGCCAACAACTACTATAATGATAATGGGGAGGGGATGGTGTTGTATGTGTGCCAGGAAGATAATAGTGTGAAAGAGTACTTGTTATTTTTCAGTTTATATATATCTATATATATTTTTTGAGAGAAATTAAAACGATTTTCTTTGGATATGAACTTTGCAGCAATAAACACTGAAAGAATGAGTACTACTTGTTTATTTTGTAGCATGTTTCCTTTAATGTAAAGTTAGATGAGATTGTAGTTATACAACACTCTCCAATTACTTCATATTTAAGTTATTTGATTGATAAAGATCTTAAAATTTATTGTCAACCTTCTTTGATTGAATCTCAGGCATCACCTTTTAACCTATTGATTTAGGCTTCGTTTCAAACGGCTTTATTACTTCTTCCTGAAGCAGCTCTTTAGTACAAAAATTAAAACTTTTATACTAGAAAGCTGCATTAAGAAGTAATAAGAAAGTCATCTCAAATGAAGTCATAGTAATTCTTGTTTCATGCATTGGATTCTCCATCTTTTTCATAATCCTAAATTAATATTTCTCGTGAATGAAAGATATTTTATCCAAACAAGACATGTATCTCCTAGATATGAAGGGTGTCTAGTTGGGATCGGATTTGACTCAAAATGAATTTGACCCGAATAAATTTGACTCAAATTCAACTTGAATTTGATCTGTTGGACTCATTTATTATACACATCATGTATTTATTTCACATCGTCGTGATTTATTCAACTCTAAAATGATCAGTTTGATTTGAACTTGATTTGTTAAGCTTGAATTCAAATGATAATCAGATCAATTCATATTGTGATGGTGATGCCTGATCCAAACATTCAGTTGCTTGTTAGCTTGTTTGTAAGGGTCATCGATTTATAATGTTCTCAATTCGTATTGCATTGGTTGTCAGTCCATGGCTCAGTGGTTAGGGAGCCTCAGGTCTCTTATCAAGACTCAAGCTTGAGTGACAATCTTAGCATATCTGTGTGTATTGTGTACTCAATCGATTAAAAGTCCCTCAAAACAAGTTCACCTTGTAATGTTGCCATGTTTAAGATCATCATCCAATTGATCAATTGTTTGACTTCTCTATTAAGAATTATGATGCTCTTAGTTCTCATTGCACTGTTGCCCAACAAACACGGTGTTCGCGGTTCACATTTTGCGGGTCGGGTTACGTCAACCCGGTAACCCACACAGGTCAGGTCCGGGTTGACTAACTTGACCCGTTTGCAAAACCGGGTTAGATTAGTGTCAACCCGTTTACGTCTGAGTCAAGTCAAGTTCAACCTGAACCCGACCCGTTGACCCGAATTGACACCCCTAAGTACTGGAGAAACTGAAAAACCTTATCTGGTTCCTACTTCAGCTTTGCTTGCATGATTTTGCTCGTGCTTTATTGAAATCAAATATAGGTGGAAAGCATCCCAACAGGATATGGATGACTTCACTTTTTGCTCAAGAGGGAGCGGTTCTAGCTTTTGTTCCGGTGGTTTTTCTATCGTATAGGAATGGAGCAGGTAAATTTCGATCATTTGTTTGGGACTAAGCCCATTCAGTCTCTCTCTATATTGTTGGCATTGAGGTGGAGACATTGGAGAAATAATAGAGAGTTAGTGGTGAAAGTTTCCCCATTTCCTCCTAGCAAAGTAAGTTTCCCCATTTCTTTCTTGGAAGTTTCGGTCCCAAGATTAAGACTTTACAGAGCTTATATAAGTAAGAGGACAATTATTCTCTCCCATGATGGCCCATTGTACTCAATTTGGGCATCGAATCTCTCTGCTTAGTGGACTCCCAATCTCTTGTCCATATAAAGGCCTAGACAAACGCCATCCACGGCGCCCTTTGGGCCTCTTGGACTCTCTCTCTCTCTCTCTCTCTCTCTCTATTTTATGTGATTGAATATTTATTTATTTTTAAAACTGATAAATCAAAATAATTTTATCCTAATCGGCAACATTATGATGATGATGATGATGATGATGGTGTTAAAAGTATAAGATAATTTTCTCTCTCTCTCTATTTACGTCTAATGAATGATCAAAATAATGAAATGAATGATTTCTTTATTTTATGAGAGCCTATAAACTTGTTTAGTTGCGGATTAAGTTAAGCAAGGCTAAATAGTATAAGCTAAGCTAAACCTTTTATTAGGGCTAAGACATTTAGTTTATATAAAAAGCTATGTTGAAATTTTTGTTTGGTTGCATTTTGCCTTAAACTAATTTGCTTATAGAGTGATAATTTATAATTAGAGGATAATTGCCCTTGATAAAAATTATTTTATCATAAAATAATTTAAATCATTATGAAATCCTTAAGGTATGCAAGAATTAACTTAGCTAAAACCTTATTAACTATACTTAAATTATTATTATAGTGAGTCATTATTTGATTAATTAATAATTTCATACTTAAATATCAAAATTTTCTTAATCAAACAATCTTATCAATCATAGTTAAATTTTTTATTATGAATAATCAAGGGTTTGCTTGGGATCATTTTTTCTCTTTTTTTTTTTCTAATTTTTTATTTTATTTTATTTTGTTTATATTTTAATGTGACAATAATTGCTAGTAGTTATTATCATTGTTGATTATAGAACAAAGAAATTTTGATTGAATTGGATGTATTAAGAGCAATCTAACATTTTTTTTATGCTCGATCACCACTCTGTGGCTCATGGCAAGAAGAATATCCTCACTCTGTCATTTTTTCTTTAATGCTTTTAGTTACATCACTTAGGTTTCGTTTACGATAGCTTTAGATCATTATTATTTTGGCTGCTTTCAAAAAAATTTAGTACGAAAAATTGATTTAAAAACAGTAAAAAATATTCTCACAAACAAACCCTAAACTTTCCCCGTATTCTTAAAATAAATGGGAAGAGAATAGTAGCACTTCTTCTGGGCGTGTTCAGAAATCGTATAAGATGCAAGTGAATCCTCTCGTGGAAAATAATTGTACCTTGGTTGGGGGAAATCGTCGTCGCAGGAAATCCAAATAAGCTTTTTGGAGTTTCCTCGGTTTGGATGTTGTGGTTAATTGGTTGTCTGGCTCTTTGGATTTGGACTTGCACCTGTTTTTCGTTAGATTGTTTGGTGCGGCCAAGATTTTTAATATGGGCAATGATGAGGCCGTGCTATCTGTTCGTATGGCTTGTTGGCATCCATTACTAGCGGCTTCTTGCTGGTCTTCGTGCAGGATTTGGTTTTGCTTGCCTGTTGCTTGCCCTTTGGAGGGACCTTGTTTATTGTTTGAGTGGTCGCCGGTGATTCCCCTTTTCTTTTATGGTCGTTTGCTCCACTATGTATTTTTTTTAGCTGTTTTTTGCTCATGTTTCGTTGGATGGCTATATCTTCTATTTTATGGAATAAAATTTCATGTTTAAAAAAAAATCTCTCTTTAAAATAAAGCATAATTTTAGTAAACTCCTAGCATACTTTTTGTCATAAAGTTTTTGGTGTCTTATTCTAAGAACAATGTCTGCCCAACAGAGAAATTATTGTGTATGCAGTCCGAACGCAGGGAACGGTTCGGATGCTGCTTATTTACTGATTATTTTGCTATGTATTTTTTAATGACAAATAAGCATCAAATAGATAATACTCACTAAGTAGTCACTAAATACATAATAAATACACAAAAAATACGTTAAAAAAATTATGTATTAAAGAATACGCAGCAGAAAAGCAATAAATACACAGCATCCGAACCGTTATCTATGTTCGGACTGCGTACACAATAATTTCTTGTGCTAACAACACCTTGACTCGCCCCAACGGAACCGTAAGCCACATGGCATGCTGAAGCGAAGACATGCCAGGTGGCATCTGGTATATAGCGGTTTAGGAGTATCTCTGTTAGTAATATTTTTTTGGGAAAAAAGTTCTTTTTTCAGCCACAGGAATCACCATAAATTTTCACTATTAGCAAAAAAATTAAAAATTATAAATTTTGGAGATTTTTTTATTTTCTTGTATTTCCATTTTACTTAAATATAAGATTTATTTTTATTAGATCAAATTTAGAGGAATAAAAAATAAAAATAAAATATATCTTTATTATTATGATTATTATTATTGCACATGCTGCTATTTCGTTCTAGAAATATTTTATTTGCACTATTTTAATTATTCCCAAGAGTGAAATTGTACTAAATATATAAAGTTATATTAAAAATAATGCTTTTAATTCATATAAATTAGTAAATTACAATAATATCCATGTTCTTTTTTCTATTTATATAAATCATACAAGTAATCATGTGAACAAATGCACAATTATCATTAAACTGTCTAATTTTTTTAGAGTATATTGAGACCATGCAACATTAATCTAATTTTAAAAATTTAAATATATTTGATTTAAGGGAATTTGAAGGAATAAAATATATTTTACTTTATAACTCTGTTTTCATAGCTTGTTTCAATATAATTATTAGATAATTAAATTAATGTTCCGTTTGAGACGACTTTCTTCTTGCTTCTTAAAATAGTTGTCTAGTACAAAAATTAAATTTTTGGATTGAAAAGCTGCTATAAGAAACAGTAAAAAAGTTATCCAAAATGAAGCCTTAGGCTTCGTTTGGGACGGCTTTTTTACTGTTTATTGAAGCAATTTTTTAATACAAAATTTTAATTTTAATACTAAAAAACTGCTTCAATAAGCTTTAAAAAGCCATCCCAAACGAAATCTTAATTTAACAATGTATTCCAATTATGTATTAGTTAGTAGTGAGAAATATAATTCCAACTTATTTCTATGGTCTCTTTCTTTTATTTTATAAACAGACCGTTCTTTACTTCTAAATTTCAATCTTCATACAAACTAGATTCAATAATTTTTCAAATATGATAATTTATCATGAAAATAAGAAATTTTGAGTAATTTTCACTCATATGACCTAATTTTTTATGCTAAACATATATCTCTAAAAATGAATCGAAGTCTAATAACCATAATTCCATTAAACAATCTTTATTGAGAATAAAAAAATCTTGAATGTTTTAATATTTCATAATAATTGCTTATAACTAATATAATTAAAAATTAATCTATAAATTTGATACGTCACGAAAAAAACACCTTTATTTTAAGTAAAAATTTGGTTGTCTCATATAAACGCTGCACCCTACTCTTTTATATGTTTGTGTGTTGGATCTTCGTTCAAAGCTAAGACGTTAAACTCTAT